TAGGGGGCTGTGAGGTCCTAATTTGAGTCTGATCTTCTAGTCTAGTTTGGTAAATAAAATACAAATATGAAATTTGGAAATTGACTTGATAATTTGAACAACTGATCTGGATTTGTAAGGAAAGCATGATCAGATATTAAATGTGTTTCAGTAATTTAAAAACACAAGATGCCCGAAAGTGGATAAGATTAATTACTAAAGAGTGATATAAATAAGCAAAATACTGTGAGTTAACAGTAAAGGAAGGGTCCCTAGAGTGACCAGGGAAGGTTCCTTTAAGGAAAAGATGGCCATGCATTAAAGACTCCAATCATTAGTTTTATAAAATAGCTGTATTGAGATATAATTAACATATCATGATTATGCTTTTTACTCATTTTAAGTATACAGTTCATTTGTTTTTGGTGTATTAACATTATTCATTTTTGAAGTTGTGGTATAATGTACATGTCATGAAATATGCCATTTTGATCATTTTTATGTACAATTCAGTGGCCTTAATTATATTCACATTATTATATAACCATCACTACTATTCCAAATTTTTCATCACTCTGAACAGAAACCCTATAAGCATTTTATCTTTATTTGAAAGGCAGTTATAGAGACAGAGAGCTCTTCCATCCACTGGTTCATTCCCCTGATGAACCTCAAGGGCCAGGGTCCAGGCCAGGCCAAACCCAGAATCCAGGAACTTCTTCCTGGTCTCCCATGTGAGTAGTAGGAGCCCAAGCACTTGGGACATCCTCCACTGCTTTAGCAGGGAACATTCCCAGGTGCATTAGCAGGGAACTAGATTGGAAGTGGAGCAGCCAGGAAATGGACCAGTGCCTGCATGGGATGCCAGCATCAAAGACGGTGGCTTTAACAGCCCTGCAACAATGTGATTTCTCTCTATAACCGTTAAGCAGTAATTTCCCATTATCCTCAAATCCCAGCCCCTAGTAATCTAATTTATGTTCCTATAGACTTTTCTATTAAGTAGAATAGTATAACATTTGTCATTGTATTGGTCAGATACATTTCACTTACCATAAAGTTTTCAGGGTTCATCCATGGTGTAGCATGTTTTAGAACCTAATTGCTGTTTATGTCTATTATATATATATATGTGTGTGTGTGTGTATATATATGTGTGTGTATATATATATATATATATAACAAATATGACATAGTTTATCCATTTGCCTGTTGATGGATGTTTAGGTATGCACATATCTTTTACAGTCCCTGCTTGTAATCCATATGGTAAATTTATGTTTAGCTTTAAAATGTTTAGGCAAACTATTTTCTTCATTTTTTGAAAGATTTGTTTATTTATTCAAAAGACAGAGTTACAGAGAGGCAGAGAGAGAGAGAGACAGAGACAGAGAGAGAGGTCTTCCATCCACTGATTCACTCCCCAGATGGCCACAGCTGCCGGAGCTGCACTGATTTGAAGCCAGGAGCTAGGAGCTTCTTTGGAGTCTACCATGCAGGTGCAGGGACCCAATGACTTGGGACATCTTCTATTGCTTTCCCAGGCCATAGCAGAGAGCTGGATCAGAAGTGGAGCAGCTGGGTCTCAAACTGGCACCCATATGGGATGCCAGCACTGTAGGTGGTGGGCGGTGGCTTTACCCACTATGCAACAGTGCTGGCCCCTGCAAACTATTTTCTATAGCAGCGGACTCACACATTAAGAATAAGTCTGGATGTTTCCACAAGTAAATAGTGTAACTTAGTCCATTTCTCCCCACTTTTGAGCTATTTATTTTTAGTTGCCCTTTTTGCATTATAAAGTGAAATCACTCATTGATATTTAACTGAAAAATATTCCCAAATTTTTTTAGTTATTTTGTATTTACTTATTTTGTATCTACTTATTTTCCTTCAGATTTCCTATTGAGGAAAACTATAGGCATTTCAGTTGGCATTTTTGCGATAACTCTCAAAAGTATAAATTCTGGGAATTCAAGTGAATTAGGAGAGCAGTGCTTACCTGTCTTTCCATAGGTCAGTGAGGGGCTGCTAAGTCAAATGACGGCTGAATTCAGTGACTTGGTAAGCATTGACCAGTAAGTGAGAAGAAATATTGGAAGAAGGTAATTATTTGAACTAATTACAAATTTCTCTTGGAGGGATCTATAATTTATCAGAACCACAATTAATAATGAATTATACTTGTAGATTCAATAGAGAACTAAACAGTAATATCAGAAATAATCAGTCATCCTGATGAGAATATTGTTTAAGATATTTGAGAGTAATTTCTAGAAGACTATTTGGAAATTTCCTTTAAATTTCTTGTCGAAGGGTATATGTGGAATATTTGATGCATAAGGAGTTTGAAATAACTAGCTATTTTGAGAAAGTGGACATGAATAGTTCATGGGCATCTTTTTCAATTTTTCTTTTTTGGAAAACCTCCGTGGCAAATTACCTCAATATAGATTTTTTTTTATTTTTTTATTTTTTATTTTTGACAGGCAGAGTGGACAGTGAGAGAGAGAGAGACAGAGAGAAAGGTCTTCCTTTTGCTGTTGGCTCACCCTCCAATGGCCGCCGCGGCCAGCACGCTGCGGCCGGCGCACCATGCTGATCTGAAGGCAGGAGCCAGGTGCTTTTCCTGGTCTCCCATGGGGTGCAGGGCCCAAGCACTTGGGCCATCCTCCACTGCACTCCCGGGCCATAGCAGAGAGCTGGCCTGGAAGAGGGGCAACCGGGACAGAATCCAGCGCCCCGACCGGGACTAGAACCCGGTGTGCCGGTGCCGCAAGGCAGAGGATTAGCCTATTGAGCCATGGCACCGGCCCAATATAGATTTTTTTAAAAAAATATGGAATGCTTCATGAATTTGCGTGTCATCCTTGCATAGGGGCCATGTTAATCTTCTCTGTATCGTTCCAATTTTAGTATATGTGCTGCCAAAGTGAGCACCTCAATATAGATTTGAGTCTAGTGAGTTTTTTTACATTTAAGTAGGAACTGAGAATGAGATTATGAGTTGTCTAAATTATTAGCAAAGGTTAGACTTGAAGAAATCTTTTGAGAAATAGTTTCCTCTTGGTTAAAAGTAAAATTTCAGTAGTTCATTAGCACAGAATTGTCATGGACATAGTACTTCGAATGACTTACTGAATACAAATTAAATAATTAAATAAAATAGTTTAAACAGTTTTTATTTTGGCATTGCTCATCTGGCAAGATAAGCAGTCAATGGGATCAAAAATTAAATGAATGAGAAAATTTAAAGAGGGTTAGAAAATACCAAAACCTACCTGCCTGCCTGCCTTCCTTCCTTCCTTCCTTCCTCCTTCCTCCTTCCTTCCTTAAGATTTTATTTATTTACTTATTTGAAAGGGATACAGAGAGGCAGAGAGAGAGAGAGAGAGAGAGAGAGGTCGGTCTTCCATCCTCTGGTTCACTCCCCAAGTGTCACAACTGCCAGAGCTAAGCTGATCTGAAGTCAGGAGCCACGAGCTTCTTCCGGGTCTCCCATGGCAGATGTAGGGGCCCAAGCACTATAGCAGAGACCTGTATTGGAAGAGGAGCAGCCTGGACTCGAACCAGTGCCCATATGTGATGCTGGCGCTGCAGGCAGAGGCTTAGCCCACTATGCCACAGCATTGGCCCAACTAGCTTTCATTTCAATGAACTTACTGAACCATGGTGACAGGAGTTTCTATTACTAAGGCTGTGTAATAACTCACTGAAATCAAATCTCATGTAATGCTAGTACTGTATTTGAAAACATCTCTGCTTCCAGTTGAAAATAGAATAGTCCCTTTTGAACCTTAGTTTTTAAATTTTTAAGTTACTCATTTTTTGGAAGTAATTATACCTTTAGTATAACTAATTCTTATCTACTCTTTCCATTTTTATGTATTTTTTAAGAAATTCTTTTATCATTCAATTTAGATTACTGCTTATATGGTAGGAAGCCTCAAATGAATACCAGATCTATTTTGATTTCCAATATTTTAATGTACTATATGAAAAACATATCTGATTTTCTGGAATCAAATTACTCCCTGATACACAAGCAGATATACATACACATAAACTTAATGCTGTAGAACTTTCTGCCACTAGGACATGTGAAATTCAAATTCAGCTTTGTTAGATGTTTGATGTGACATTTCCATTCACTTGAAAGCTTTTCCAAGTCCCCAACAAAGCTAGGATTAGAACTGGTGTCTCTGAAATATTCTACCAGTCTACCACATCTATCAATCATTCCAGGACGCTACCTCATCCATGTTTTGAGTAACCTTGTAGGATTGGATGGAGGACTGTTTCATGTCCTCCTATGCAAATCATTCCTAATATTACAACAAGTGTAGATGAACTAGACAACTGGGGAGTGTCTCTGACTTCTTGCTGCCCTGAAATGCTCTTTCTAAGACTATCCAGAATTATTCTTATCTCCTTATTCTCTTGTAGTGGTTTGAAGCCTGCTTTAATTACTGAGCTAGCTGTTGATCCTGTTGCCTAGTAAAATTTGTCTAGATTCATAGCATATTTCTCTAAGTTTTGTACCCTCTCTTCAGTATATCTGGCTATACATTAGACAGATGGAATTGGTTATGATACAAGGGTACTTCAAAAAGTTTATAGAAAACTGAAGTTGAAAGACAGTTTATTTTAGTGCAAAAAATTTTGAAAACCATGCATAGTTTTTTCATTGTGTGTATTTTCATTAGCTTTTCAAAGATCCTTTGTATGCAAGCATTCCAGAATTTTTTGTGTCACCATCCCTCTTACTGTGTTCCTTAATATTTGTTGTTCTGTTTGAAGTGATAGATTAAAGGAAATGTGTAGTCCTAGCAAACATTTTTCAACTTCTGAAACAGAAAAATTGACATACAGTTTATTTAGATACTGACAAGAATATTTGTAAAAAGTTAATCCAAAGTTATTCCTAAATAAAGTTGTAAGATATAAGAATAGATTTTTCTGAATATTAAATTTCTTACTTGTTTTTTAGACTAACAATTAATATATATTAACTAAAAATTCCCTATTTTTTAAAAGATTTATTTTATTTATTTGAAAGACAGAGTTACAGAGAGAGAGAGAGAGCCAGAGAAAGAGAGAAAGATCTTCTGTCCACTGGTTCACTCCCCAAATGACCACAACAGCCAATGCTGAGCTGATCTGAAGCCAGGAACCAAGAGCTTCTTCTGGGTTTCCCACGCGGGTGCAGGGACCCAAGGACTTGGACCATCTTCTACTGCTTTACCAGGCCACAGCAGAGAGCTGAAGCATCCAGGAGTCGAGCCAGCACCCACGTGGGATGCCGGCACTGCAAGCCTGGGTTTTAACCCACTGCACTACAGTGCTGGCCCCATGAATTCCTCATTTATAAAATTCAAATAATATCTGCCCTACCTACTTCAAGATTTGTTGTTAGAATAAAATGAGAATATATATGCACACTGGGTTTTTTTCTGCAAATTTCTATAGAAGTTTTTTAATGATTATGGATTTCCATTCAAGACTTTTACTAAGATCTTATGTGAATGTTTTAGGCTTTAAGGATGACATCAGGTCTGATTTTTCAAGGATGTCACAGTGTAGTAGGAAGCTAGAGATCAAAACAGAAAATTGCTATATAGTACAATGTTAGAAGTGCTCTAATTAGGGAGTATACAATAGCAACAAGAAATGAACACTTAAAGCTTCCTTGTAAGTCAGAATGGTTCTCTAGAAGAGGCAATGCCTGAGAGGAGACCAAGAATTCGTGTCGGAGTTTGGCAGGGAACAAGGGACGGACACTTGGAGAACAGGAAACAACATGTACAGAACACATGGCATGGATGTAGGGAAAACTGTAATGTACTTGTGAATGGCAAGTTTAGGCACCTACTATATGAAAACAGACAGTGAAAGGAGGCTAAAGTAAAAGCCAGAGGTCTATTAAGAAAAGGTTTAGGGCTGGCACAGTGGCACATGGATAAAGAAGGCCACCTGCAGTGCCTACATCCTGCATGGGCACTGGTTCATGTCCCTGCTGCTCCATTTCTGATCCAACTCTCTGCTAATGGGCTGGGAAAAGCAGTGGAGGATGGCCCAAATGCTTGGGCCTCTGCTAACCCCGTGAGAGACCTGGATGAAGCTTCTGGCTCCTGGCTTCAGCCTGGCCCAGCCATAGCTTTTGTGGCCATCTGGGAGAGTGAACCCTCCAGAGAAAGAGAGAGAGATCTTCCGTCCACTGGTTCACTCTCCAAATGACCACAATGGCCAGAGCTGAGCTGATCTGAAGCCAGGAGCCAAGAGCTTCTTCTGGGTCTCCCACGTGGGTGCAGGGTCCCAAGGAATTGGACCATCTTCTACTGCTTTACCAGGCCATAACTTGGTAGATGGGAAATTTCTCTACTTCTGTCTATAACTCTTTCAAATAAATAAATAAAATCTTAAAAAAAGAGACGTGTTTTTTATGACAGGCATAAGACCTGAGATTTATTCATACAGGTAACATAGAGACACTGGGATTTTTAAGGAGGGGAGTGGCAGGATTAGTGTGTATTAAAAGGATTATTGCTTTAAAAACACACATGATTATTGTTGGCTGTGGGGAGGAGGATTGCAGAAGACAGAAGTAGAGATCTCTTGGAAGGCTATTGCAACATTTTTGGTGAGACCTAATTTAGAATCATACTAAAATGATGTGGGAATAGAAGATATTTAGGAAATAGAATTAGCGAAAGAGAGTATTTAGTTTATGTGATTCAGCATCCCTGACTTTTTTATCTCTATTAAATCCTTTTTTTGTATTGCAATCTGGCCAGTCACATGACTATGGGAATGAGGTAGCCAAACAAGTTTGACAAGTTCTTAGGTACTTAAAATGTTGGATGAACTTATTAGTCCTCAAACTGAATTGATATAACTTTAGTAAGTTGTTTTCTTTCTTTCTTTTCCGAAAAAAAAAAAAATGTAAAATGGAAATGTAAGATTAGCTAAATGGATGAGTACCTCAGAGATTTTTGCCAGTGACTTGATTTGTTGTCTTAAAGATGTCTTTCTTCACATAATATATGAAAAGTCATACTAGGGACATTCTACATTCTGTCTTTTAAAATTTTGTTTGTTTGTGGGTACTTAATTTGCAAAGCAGAGGCAGAAAGTAAGACCAAGAGACAGAGATATTCCATCCACTGGTTCACTCTCCAAATGCCCACAACAACCAAGCATGGGCCAGACTGAAGCCAGGAGACCAGAACTACCTCTGGGTCTCCCATATGGGTGGCAGGGATCCAAGTTCTTTTGTAATGATCTGCTGCCTCCCAGGGTACACATTAACAGGAAGCTGGATCAGAAGCAGAGGAGCAGGGATTTGAACCAGGCACTCTGATATGGAATGTCAGTGTCTCAAGCAGTGTCTTATTATACTAGATGCCCTGCCTTCTGCATTCAGTCTTGGAATAGGGCATATTGACTTTAACATTTCAGTAGACACTTCCTTAAGTCAAGTAGCACTCCATTATGGAGAGATACTAAACATTCATTTTTTAAAACTCAAATAGCTTAGGCAGGTGTTTGGCCTAGAGTTAAGATGCTATTTTGGACACCTACCTCCCGTGTCATAGTGTCTGGGTTTGAATCCCAGCTCTGCTCCTGATTCCAACTATCTGCTAATGCCAGTCTAGGAGGGATGCAGCCCTGATATTGCAAGTGGTTGAGTCCCTGCCACCCTCATGGGCCTAGATTCTGAGCTCTAAGCTTAAACCTGGCCCAGCTCCATCCAGCCTTGGGGGCATTTGGAGAGTGAACAAGAGATGAAGTGTTTCTATCTCTCTCAAATTAAAAATAAAACAAAACAAAACACAGTTTTATGGAGATAAAGTTCATATGCCATAACTTCTCCCATTTAAAGTATTTGGTTCAGTTTTCAGTGTATTCACAGTGTTTTGCAACCATCACCACAATTAAAGCATTTCATCACCCCAAAGGGAAGCTAAGTACCCTTTAGCAGTCACTCCTTATATTCCCCAACCTACTCATAGCTCTAGGCAGGTACTATCTGCTTCCAGTCTCTATAGGTTTGCTTTTTCTAGACAATTTGTATAAAGTGAGGCATGTGACCTTTGGGCATTTTTGACTGGCTTCTTTCACTTACTCCAATGTTTTCAAAGTTTTGTTACATGTAGTGCATCTTAATGTTTATTCCCTTTTTATTATGGGATAATATTTGAATGCATGGGTGTAATATACTTTATCCACTTATCAGTTGATGGCCATTTATGTCGTTTCCACTTTTTGGCTGCTATAATAAGTAATAGTTGTAATCGTTCATGTATAAGTTTTTGTATAAACATATGTTTTCATTACTTAGGTACCTACCCAAAGCAGGAATAGAACTCTATATAGGAGTAGAATTACCTAGTCATATAAATATGATAACTCTCATGTTTAGACATCTGAAGAGCACAATTTTTCAAAAACTGTATTTATCTATTTGAGAGGTGGATTTCCCAGACATTCATTCACTCCCTGAATGCTCACAACAACCAGGGTTGTGCTAGCTCAAATGAGAATCCTGGAACTCAACCCCATTCTTCTGATGTGGCTGACAGGGACCAAAGTACTTGACCCATCACCTGCTGCCTCCCTGAGTGTGCATTCACTGGAAACTGGAATCTGAACAGAGCCAGACTCAAACTCATGCACTCTGATATGTGGTAAGAGCATCCAAAGTGGCATCTGAACCACTTTTCCAAATGCTACTCCAATTGAAATTTTCCTGTGTTTAATGCAGTTCATGTTAAGAAATGTTTGGGATATATACTTCGGGGCTTCTAATATGAGGGTGGTGAATTTATCTCAGCATTATCACAGAGGGTGTTGATGTTTCCAGATAAAAACTGGAAGTATTGGCCAGCGCTGCAGCTCACTTGGCTAATCCTCCACCTGCGGCGCTGGCACCCAGGGTTCTAGTCCCGGTTGGGGCACTGGATTCTCTCCCGGTTGCTCCTCTTCCAGTCCAGCTCTCAGCTGTGGCCTTGGAGGGCAGTGGAGGATGGCCCAAGTACTTGGGCCCTGCACCCCATGGGAGACCAGGAGGAAGCATCTGGCTCCTGGCTTTGGATCGGCACAGTGCACCGGCCATAGCGGCCATTTTGGGGGTGAACCAACGGCAAAAGGAAGACCTTTCTCTCTGTCTCTGTCTCTCTCACTGTCTAAATCTGCCTGTCAAAAAAAAAAAAAAAAAAACTGGAAATATTAATATTTGAGCATGTCAATGCAATAAGAAAAGGACAAATGTTTACAAGTCAGAAAACAATAAAAATTGTGAGTAGAATGGACAGGACACCTTTGAATAGATAAGTTAATACCTAATTTGACTAAATTTTATAGTTAAGGGAATGATAGAGGGGATGATACTACTATTTGTGGATATTTGGAGATTATCAGTATCACAAAGGAGAAAACTTGGTTCATAAACTACAGGAAAATCATATTCTGAACAAATCAATTTTTTGTTATAATGAAGATTGTAAAGTTATGTATTAACATCTTGAGAAAAATCTGTTTTAATAATTTAGTCATCTAAAAATGAAAATAAAACTGTCACTCTCATCCAAAAAGAAAACTTCAAATTATACAAAAACTAAAATCAAAATGGCACTCATTTGATGGCCTGATTGACAGGGAATAGTTATTATAATCTTAAACATCTCTTCAAGTTTACCTGTGAAAGAAATTTGCTTGGAATAGAAAATTCTCTTGATATTTTAAACTTTCTTTTCCTCATGTTTAATTTATACATAAAGAAATAATGTTGACTTTTATTGAGCTATTTTTCCCACCCTTGCACCTTCAATCTGAAGGTAATAAAGGTATTTTCTTCTCTCTATTCTTCTGGCTGAACACAGGAGAATAAAGCTGGTTGCAGGAAATGTGCTAGGCTAGGCTCTCTATTTTTTTTTTTTTTCAATAGCTCTTTGAAGTAAGTGTAATTAATCCCACTTTCCTGATTCAGAAACTAAGGCTCACTAGACATACTGGCTGTGTATTGAATAATACAGTGGATTCATAAAACAAATACAGAGCTGTAAAAAGTCACTGTAATTAGCAGCTTCCTCTGTGGAAGCTAAGCACTCTGTAATTCAAAGATGGGAAGTTGTGACCTAGGATTAGTCAGATACAATTTTATGGTACTGACTCCTGGGCCTGTATTTAATGGTGTATGGTATTTAGATTATTATAAGGAAAACCAGAATGTGTCTCAGTAGTGGTAATAGCATGAACAACGATGAGAAAGACAAGAGTATGTATGACATTAGGAAATTTTCTGTCAGCCTTTTTATGTTGCAAGAAACAGTAACCCTCTGAAACTCAAGAAAAGGATGGATGTCAGAAAGCCACAGAAGTCTCAGGGACTATTGAGCAAAATCAAAAAGGCAGATCTGAGGAAAAGAACCTGGTATTAGCCCTACTCTGATCTCTGTCTCAAGACCACAGAACATGGGTTCAGCCGTCGTTATTCCTAACTCACTGTTCATTAACTTGTGTTTTCTTAGTCCCAAAGCTTTAATGATCTCCAAACCCAGCAACAACTTCCTCTCTTTCTTTTGGTTAAAATGTCTGTATCAGAAGGAATCCAATTAGAGCATCTTTCTGAGGTAACTAACCTATGGGTTTCTGGCCCACCATTGCTTCCTTAGGTCATGTCTGTTGCAGACAGCTTTGACCACACTTGATAGCATCCTACAGCCCACTGCTACAGAACTAGAATTCTATCAGCAGCACAGGTCCTGTCAGCTGGGTTAGAGGATTTATAAACGGGAAGCATCAGTGAAGCATGAGGAAAGTATAATGGGTCATGAACCTTCCTACTTCCTGGATGGGTGTGGAAGACACAGCTTTAATTTCATGAAAACTCTCATCATTTAAAAACTATGTCAAGGCAAAGGTCTTTTTTAATCCTAGCAGTCTATCAATGATGTTGCCTCTCTCCAAAACTTTTATGTCATTTTCTCCCTCCACCTTTGTTCCCCCCTCCTCCCCTGCTTCCTCAGCCTCCTCAGCTTGTCTTTGCAACTGCTTATAACTTCATTTGATCCTAATGTCAAGGAGAGAATGGACAAAAAGTCTTCATTTGTCTCAGGGTTAAGAGACAACGATAATAGCAAGCCATGTCCTAGTGCTCAACATATATTCAAAACTCAAAGATTATAAATCATGGTTTGTGAGGAGGTGGAATTACTGTATTTTATCCTACATTTAAAATTTTTCCATGAATTTTGAAAATGAATGCAGACATTTCCATTTATTCAAAACATTTTTAAGATTCATTTTATTTTGTTTCTTTGAAAGGAAGAGTTACAAAGAGAGGGGTTGAGGGAGGGAGAGATCTTCTATCTACTGGTTCACTCCCCAGATGGCCACAACAGCCAACGTGGCCAGGCCTAAGCTAGGAGCCAGTAGCCAGGAACTTCTTCAAGATCTCCATGCAGGTGCAGGAGCCCAAAGACTTGGACCATCTTTCACTGCTCTTCCAGGAGCATAAGCAGGGAGCTGGAGTGGAAGTGGAGCAGCCAGGACTGGAATCAGCACCCATATGGGATGCCAGCGTCACAGGCGATGGTTTAACCAGTTATGCCACAACACTGGCCTCTCAAAAATTTTTTAGATGTATAGTAATTTAGATTTGAGTTGAATTATGAACAGTATGAAATGAAAAGCAAAATTTATTAAAAAATTTAAATCAGAATTATTACATGATGAATTTTTATAATGCAAAGACTGACATTCATTTTTATATGCTAACAACTCAGCTAGCATATAGGTTTGTAGTAGATGCCCAGTAATAGTTTGTTACAGTATAAATAGTGGACCAGCTATTTCAATTGTAGGAGGCAGAGAATCTTTAATGTATAATATTTTATCAGAATTCTCAAATTTCTCACTGTCTATAATTTCAGTAACATTAATTTTTAAAAGTATTTCATCTTCGGTCAAAGCACTTTAGTACAATATGCTATCATCTCTATAGATATTAAAATTCACAAAGTAGGCCGGTGCCGCGGCTCACTAGGCTAATCCTCCGCCTAGCGGCGCCGGCACACCAGGTTCTAGTCCCGGTCGGGGCACCGGATTCTGTCCCGGTTGCCCCTCTTCCAGGCCAGCTCTCTGCTGTGGCCAGGGAGTGCAGTGGAGGATGGCCCAGGTACTTGGGCCCTGCACCCCATGGGAGACCAGGAAAAGCACCTGGCTCCTGGCTCCTGCCATCGGATCAGCGCGGTGCACCGGCTGCAGTGCGCCGGCCGCGGCTGCCATTGGAGGGTGAACCAACGGCAAAAGGAAGATTTTTCTCTCTGTCTCTCTCTCTCACTGTCCAGTCTGCCTGTCAAAAAAAAAAAAAAAATTCACAAAAGTAGATGAGACATTAATGTAATCATTAGAAAATAGTTTATATAATATCCAGTATATCAAAAGCCAATTATGTATCTGTACTTAATATTGTATTCTAATGTGGCAATTTATTTTCAGAAGACTTTACTTTTTCACATTAAATTTTCTATATTTTTCAGAGTTTGAGAAAATGTGTAACATTTAATAAAGATACCCGTAGACATCAACAAATAGTAAAGATAATATTTTCCCAAAGCATATCTAACTTATTTTCCTAATTTCTTTTTTTTTTTTTTTTTTTTTTTTTTTTTTTTTTTTTTGACAGGCAGAGTGGACAGTGAGAGAGAGAGACAGAGAGAGAAAGGTCTTCCTTTTGCCGTTGGTTCACCCTCCAATGGCCGCCGCTGCAGCCGGCGCACCGCGCTGATCCTGGCAGGAGCCAGGAGCCAGGTGCTTTTCCTGGTCTCCCATGGGGTGCAGGGCCCAAGCACCTGGGCCATCCTCCACTGCACTCCCTGGCCATAGCAGAGAGCTGGCCTGGAAGAGGGGCAACCGGGACAGAATCCGGCGCCCCAACCGGGACTAGAACCCGGTGTGCCGGCGCCGCAAGGTGGAGGATTAGCCTATTGAGCCACGGCGCCGGCTCAATTTTTCTAATTTCTGTATGCTTATCAAATACACAGCCCCCACAAAGGCCACCCCATTTCCTGAATCTATATCATCTTTCAATACTTGATACCAAGGTCACTTAACTCAATTTATTACAAGAAGAATCTTAGAGGATGATGCTTTGGCACGGAAGGTTAAGCTTCCACCTGCAGTATTCATCCCATATGGGTATCTCTGCAGAAGTCCTATATGGGTACCGGTTCAGGTCCTGGCTGCTCCAGTTCCTATCCAGTTCCCTGCTACTGTACATGAGAAAGCATCTGAGGATGGCCCAAGTCTTGGGGCTCCTGCACCCATGTGGGAGAACTGGAGGAGGCCCCTGGCTCTGGCTTCCGCTTGGCCCAGCCCTGGCTATTGCGGCCATTTAGAGAATGAACCAGCAGATGGAAGCGCACGCTCTCTCCTCGCTCTCTCGTGCTCTGCTCTCTCCCTCTCTGTCTCTCTCTGTAACTCTTACTTTTAAATAAATAAGTCTTAAAAAAAGAATCTTTAGCTTGGTTTTGACTAGGTTTTCACAACTGCGCCAAGTTCCTAGCGTATAAACCCTTTATATATAATACTTAACCTGACTTACTCATTGTATCCCAAGCATGTAACATGTTTCATTATTTAGAATTTACTTTCTGAAAGATTGAACATCTAGTGTTTCCATGAA